ACAGTTTTGATGAAACAAAATGGAACAGTGCTTCAAAACGGAATGAAATGATGAAACGAAATAGTGTCCCTTTGAAATGGCAAAACAGAAGTCAAAATGAAATGGTCCTGTTTCACACAGCCCTAATTGACACCTATATTAAAACTTGACCTCTTTCAGTTTGAACTCTCACCTCTGAAAGGATTTGTCATGCTTGACTATTCCATTGCTGCTCTGGCTCTGACCAATGCCTGTTGATTCAGGGAGAGGTGAAAAACACCAGTGCTACATAGGATGGTGTCGCTTGAGCCCTGAATTGCTTGGATTTATAGATTCCCTTTTTGTTTCTATGCATAAAGTCAGTCAAAGCAGTGTGTTGATTTACGTAGAACTCAACATTACTTCTTCATTCCTACAAAATGGAATGAAATGGCCTTTCTCCAGCTTGCAGAGGCAGATCCAGGATTGTGTATAGTGAGCTCTGCAAGCAAGAACCCATGCTGCAGGGGTAGCTGTACCCCTACTCTAAGTTTCCCATCTCCCCTGCCAGGACAGGCGAACAACACCACAAGATCAGCAGCCAGGACTTTTCTAAATCAGGTAAGAATCTTCCCACTCCTGGGCTCTTGGCACACCCTCCCCTCCCTTCTCTACTCCGTCTCTTTTTCTCTCATTCACCTCCTCCCCCACCCACTGCTGCCACTGTCCCTGGATGCCCTATGGATGAGAGGGCGCTCCAGAGCTGCTTTTGCCCCACAGATGCTTCATTCCCCCTCCCTGGGCCTGCGCCTGGGCTAGCAGGGAACACCCTGGGGGACATGGCAGACAGGTGAACTCACCCACTGTCACCACTGCCACTTTCCCCAGCTGAGCCTGGTTCCCTATGCAGACTAGCTGGAGTGGGGCAGGAGTGGCTCTAGAGTCCAGCCCAACCCCAGGTTAGCCAGGGATGGGGAAGGAGGGGAAGTGTCACTGAACACAGAAGACAAGCAGCGAGGGGGGTGGGATTTTCACCTTATTTTGGGACTTACAAATAATCTCTGGCTGCTGCTCCCTTGGCATGGTCTAAAGGGGAGGGCGACCATGTCCCTGCAACCCCTCTGGATCCAGCCTTGCTGACTGGTAGGTTATCTGTAACAGGGGACCCAAGCCCTGTCATGGAGAAAGCACTGATGGGCAGGAAAGGCCCCTTTAAGAACAGAACTTTTGTGGCCCAGAGCCTCAAGAACTTGGACAGGAGACGTGCCACTGCTGAGCAAGGTAAGAGGCTTAGCCCTGAACTCTGTCGAGGAAAGAAACCCCATCAGAAGAAAGAAACTCCTGGAACCAAGGGTGTATCTGGGGGAAGTGGTACAGTGGCACACATGCATCCCCATTTCAGTCAGCTGTGTTATGGGAGAAGCAGCCAAGGGTGGGGTTTTGTTAAGTGCCTGAAGCAAATAAGAATCCTCACTCTCTTTCCCTCTTTGTACAGCAGCATGTCTTCTCCCCTCCCCTTCCCTCCTGCTTCACTACCCATCAGTTTCATTGTCTCTGGGTACCCAGGAAACTCCAGAGACACTCCTGCCGATTCCAGCTGGGCTTCCCACAGAGGTGGGTTCAATCAGGGACTGGGGCAACAGCAAGATGGGGCTCTCCTCCCTGTCTGGTCCCCCTGGTGTTCCCCCCTGGAGCAGAAGTGGGGAAGGGAATCCTCCTGCTTATGCAGAGGCTGCTGCTTGCTCTAGCTGAGCCTTGCTCCACATACAGCCTGGTTGCAGTGGGGCAGGAACTATGCTGTAGCCCTCTGATTTAGCTGGGGACAGTGGCAGCAGCAGGCAGGGGAAGAGGAAATTGGAGGGGAAGAGAGGGGCAGCACAGCACGGCATTGTGCGCAGCCATGTCA